GCCTGGAGCAGAGGGCGAAGAAAGAGGTGATGAGTGGAGGCGCAATTCAGTGTGTGGGGCGGAGACTTGGCGCGGGAGTGCGAGAGGGGCACCCGGGGGGTGTTATAAGACGAGCCTATAATTGGGACTGCAGCATGAAGGAGGTTTGGTCACCTTAACTGGGGTTGTCGTCCTTAGGAGGCTTATGCACAAGTTAGGAATTTACTTCCCAGTGGAAGGGGACATGTTTTACGGGCTGAGTGTACTAAACTTATTTCTTGCCTACCCTAGTTTCCGGGAATCTGAAGGTGTATTTATATTGACTGGGGTGGATCCAGACTTCTGTATTGAAAAGATCGATGGCCTAGGCCATGGGACAACCCAGCCCATCATTTGTTTTGTTTTTAAAGGACCCTGGCTTCTAAGGGACATCCCAGTTTGTGAAAACGGATGCACAGACAAAAGAGGAGCACATTTGATTTCAGGTGGAAAAAAATCAAGCAGAAGGATTCAAGAGGGTGCAGGACATGTGGGCAAAAGCCAGCTAATTCAGGGGGTCAGGTGTAACAGATCTTCAGGACTCTTGTACCATTATTTCAGCAAGTGCCCATAGACAGCAGGGTGGTGGAGCAGATGATGCCCTGAAGATTTGGGGCTCCTCCTGTACTGCGCTGTTCACTAACACAGCCTCTGAGACATTGTCATGTTTACCCATTGAAATCAGTGGGACTTGATTTAGTTGTGCTTACTGCTTCTGATTTGTTCAAACCAAATCCAGCCCACTGTCTGCTATGTAAATAAACATGAATTCTCTTAATTAGGATAACCAGAGCAGAGATTCAGGCTTCTTGTCTCTGAGTTTATTTTTCTATAGGAATAGGAGTGAAAAATCATCAGAGGAAAGTTAAGATATGGGTAAAGAGGTCCCAGTGAAGCTGGCCTTGTAATACACAGGAATACATTCTATGTCTCCACCTGCACTCAAACTTTTTTTTCCTAAATAGCAAAACGTCTTTAAAAATGTTATTTGACTATATATCAGACTGCTGTTTATGGGGGTGTAGTGATGGCCTGGGTTTGCTGCTGTCATCCTGAGTAGACTAGATGAAGACTTAAAACAAAGCAGTATTTACTTTAGATGGAGTATCCTTTAAGTACTTCTGCAATCTCCCACAGTTGTATATGGGAGGCCTCATTAACTATAGTGGGAACTCTTGAGTAAACATATACTTGTGTGATAATCCACCGTGGCTGGAACTTACCTACTCTGTTGTGTGTTACATGCCCTCCAACCACTAGGTAATTATACCCTGTTTGGCTTCTAGTGACTGTCTCATATGCAATCAAACTCTACCTTTGTTAATATAAATATTACCGTGCATGTCTTCTTCCCTCTATTCCATGAGGACCCATGTGTTCTGATTGGGGTTGCAGACGGAACTGAGTAACCATTAGATTTTATCTTCAGAAATGGAACAGTTGTTATTTCTTTGTTCCAGCAGCTCTGGTTGAATATTGAATTCAATCTTTCATCTAACAAGATTAATACATCTGTTTAACTTCTTCAACACTCAATTTTATAACTGTTGTAACGACAGGCTTTGGTGGCAGGAACATCAGGCTTGTTTCTTTCCTGTTTTGTGTCATATGCCACCTGTTGAAGAATTCTGGAGAACTCAAATTTTTTTTGATAACATGGCCCTAATAAAAGTATTACCTACTGGTGACTTGTGTTCTTTTCTTTTTCTTCAACCTCTTCTGATGGACCAATACATTGACCCACAGTTTTTCTCTGACATTCCTGATCATCTCATTGGATAGCTCACAATAAGGTCTTAAAAAACTCAGAATACCCTGAAACATGATATGAAAACCATGGCTCTAGTATTTTGGAGTAGAAAAAGTGGTTCTAAAAGGGGTGCTTTAAGAAGTCACCTAACCCATCGATCCACACAGTAGCAGGACTGAAGCAGCTGTTGAGGAAATTTTGTCCAAACTTCATGTCCTTACCCTGTCTTCCCTGACCTGGTGCCGCTCTGGCTGGGAATGATGGTAGTTGTGGCCCACTGCATCTATATGGCACCAGATCGGGAAAGGCTGTCTAAGCCACAGTGACCATGATAGATACCTGACCTTTGTGTTCATGACAGTCTTTTGCAGATTTAACAAGAGTTTCCCTTTATACTTTGCCCTTTTCAGTTTCTTTTATCATATGCAGCGTTTTCAAACTCCTTGCCCTTTTATTGTATTCCTCTGAGCTCTTTGATACATTTCTATGAGGGCTGTATGACATATGACACTAAATTCATTGATAGGAAGCCTGTCCATTAAAAAAATAATAGCAAACAGAGGGGAGGTTTAATCATGCATGCCCCAGTCGTGGTCTTGGGGAAAATGTCCCCCTGTAAACTTTTAGCCCTGGTAAAAAGCTCCGCGTGTTTCCTCTCCTCATTGTCTGCTGTTCTTTTAAAAACACACCCAAACTGATGTACTACCTATTGGCATGTTTAGTGCTATTTCTGGTTTGGTCTTGACATACCCTGTTATCTAACGTACTAAAAACATCACTTGAATGCAACTGTAGTGGACAGTTCATAGTTTCTTCTGTGAGAGGCAGTGTGGTGCAGTCGTTAAGAGCACATGACTCCTGTGCTCTGGGTTCTAGTCCCTGCTCAGCCACGGAGCCAACTGGGTAACTTTGAGCCAGTCACAGACTCTCAGCATCACCTTCCTCACAGGATTGTTGTTGGGATAAGACTAGGAGCAGCAGAAGGAGAATGGTGTAAGCAGCTTTCAGTTCATAAGAAAAAAGCAGAATATAAATCTAATACATTTCTTTTAGGCAAGGTGACTTGCATAGTTTTTCTGTAATGCCTCATGGAGAACTAGAGCACCTGTATGGCCAAAGTGATTATGCTATATTGAGCATGTGGTGGTGGAACTTCTGATAAAGGAGCTGGGTTATTCTGATAATATAAAATGATCATAACATGCCAACTTCCTATGGAACAAAATTACCAGAATGTTTCCAGTCTGATGTCTGAAAGAAGAAATCAAGGAGAAAGTAGGACTGGGGGAGTGGCTCTTGCAGGGAGGAAATGGAATTACTGGGCAGAGAAAGGGATCTTGGGTAAAGTCTACATCCAGACAGGAACTTTCTAACAGCTGTGGCTTCTGTTGTCACTGCAGCATTTTGATCTGGCATAGCCAAGGAGCATAGGAGTGGGGAAAGCTCTGTTGTGCATATTGATTTGAACCGACTAGCTGTACCTGGACTGAGTTGTAAGAGTCTAGCTGGTGTTTTGTACTGTAGTAAGCAACAGGAGATGTATAAGAGCAGTCTACAGAAAAGATCCACTACTAGGAAACAATTGCACTGAATTCGGTGAGGCTTATATTAACAATTACTGTGGCAAAAGAAGTTATCTGAGAAATGTGCAAAATAAGAATTGGTATTTTTCAAGAGGCTTGACAGATATCTGCAAGAGTTTCTTTTGGCCTGTACATTCTTAAACGAGAACTCCCTGGAGCAGGGTTGGGCTAAAGGTAGTTCATTACGAATAGGCTTCTGGTTGACTTGCAGTTGGTTAGCAAGTGTCTCTATCTTCCACCTGTTTAAGAACACCAAGAAAAAGTCTTTCTTCTCTCACTGCTGAAATGAAGAAACTTGTGGGAAAACTAGGAATGAACTTTTATGTGAAAATGCTGAGAGCTTAGTTTTGATATTGTAAATAAAGTTCTTGAGCTGATCATACAGTCAGAAGCACTGTTTATTCTTCCTTAATGGTAAGCGTATACTGGATTGTCCAGCTGGAAGGCCCTAGGGACCTGGGAAACAATACAAAAGTAGATCCCACAAGCCTGACGTCTGCTCACCCCACCCTAAATCCAGGAGGGTATTTATATCCCAGAGAAATTAGCAGGGCTAGTCTAGATGAATAAATAGCTTGTGTTTTGAGCACCCTTGTAATTCTGGAGACATTACATTTTTTGCATCCCTAGATTTTTTCTCTGAGGGTGATCCCATACAGTGGTACCTTGGTTCACAAACATAATCTGTTCCATGACTCTGGTTGCAACCTGAATTGGTTGCAAACCAAGTCAAATTTCCCCATAAGGTTCATTGTAAATAAGGTTAATCCGTTCTGATCCCTACGAAAGTGGTCGTGAGCCAAGTCAATTTTCCCCATTAGGTTCAATGTAAATAAGGTTAATCTGTTCTATAAATATTTTTTTAATTACAAAAATTTGAAACAAAGTAACAACAAAGTAACAAAGTACAGTACAGTAGAGAACACTAACCTAGGTGGGGGGGAGGTTAATGTTTGGGGGGAGTCCAAACGATAAATGTGCAATCGCAATCGTGCTCACACAGGGAAGATGGCTGCGATTGGGATTGTGTTCATGTGGGAACATAGCTGCTATTGTGGTTGTCACCCGATGTGGAGTTTGCAAACAGAGGCAATTTTTTTCTGAAATTTTTGTTTGAACCGATTTGATCATGAGCTGAAGCGTTCGTGGACCGAGGTACCACTGTATTTTTCCCTTTATGTTCTGTGAGTTTTGGGGAGTGGGGTGGGAGAGAGAGAACATTATCAGATGAACAGTCATATTTGAGCTACAAGGATAAAATATGAGTATTTTTTTAAATTGGCAGCCAACTCAGCAACATCTTACTTTAAAAGTAGAATTTTCTGACTGAAAGTGAGAAGATTGGTCTCTATGTGACTCTGAAATAGCTTCCATTTCCAAGCTTGAGGAAGCAAATGTCACAGTGCCCTTGTGTACCTGGCAGAAGGAAAAGCCACTTCCTCTTTACAGGTGTTAGGATTGGTCTCATGAGGTTTTATAGGAGGAGGCTAATAACTTTCAAGCAGATGTTGGAAGTAATTGTCAACCAACCATGCATTGTTTAAAGCTGTAATAGGAGCATTAACCTAGACAATATACAGATTGTTCACATGCATTTTGTTAACAGTGATATAAAACATAATAAAATAAAATACATCAGAAATAAAGAGATGGTAACCAGAACTTCAAAAGTAGGGTAATTTATTTTCTTAAGGATTCTTATAGCTGTGAATCATTTGATTTCCTAAACAAACATTTCTGTCTTGCAGTCAAGGGCTGAAGGACTGCCTTTGCTGGACAGAAGGAAGCTGAAATGGCAAAGAAGGTGGAGTCTTTCATTTGGAGGCCTGGAAAAGGTATTTGGGAGGAAAGATGGTTGAGAGATGCAAATGTAGCTTTGCATACAAGAGATGCCCATGTTCCTGGCAGAATAGGTATGAAGAAGTAGTCCTCTGCAGCTGTGTAGCAGAATACATACTCTGCCTGTATCTCAGGAACAATCCCTGTAAGAGATCTTGCATAGCAAGGCTGGGAAAGAGAAAAATCGGCAAAGCCACTGCTAGTTGGTACTGATTTAGTGGGTCACTGGCCCTATTCCATACAAGGCTAGTAATATAAAAAGTGAGCATCTTGAGCTGTAGCCAGGATATGCAAATAAATACAGTGGTACCTCGGCTCACGAATGCCTTGGTTACGAACAAATCAGGTCACGAACAAAAATTTCTGAAAACTTTTGACTTGGGTTGCGAACACTGCTTTGGGTGGTGACCAAGATCGCAGCTATCTCCCCCTCCCCGAGTGGGGAGATGGCCACGATTGCAGTTCTGTTCGTGCAGGGAAGGTGTGCGTGATCAGAGGCGCGCTGCTGCAGGAAAGGCAGGAGCAGCAAAGTAGAGCCACGGCGGAGATGGCTGAGATTTCGCCTATCTTTCCTGCAGGAGCGCACCTCTGATCAGGCACGCCTTCCCTGCATGAAGAGATGGCTGAGATTCTGCCTCTGGTCAGGCACACCTTCCCTGCATGAACTGCGATCAAGGCCATCTCCCCACCCCCAACGCACTGTTTGCGCCCATCTCTCCCTCCCCCAGTGTGCCCGCGATCACACCTGTCTCTCCCCCCCACCCCCTAGCGCACCGGAATGACAGGCGTGTGCAGGGATGACAGGCATGTGCAGGGAGGGATGACAGGCGCGATCTCGGTTGTGCTGGGGGTGTGCGGGGAGATGGCTGCGATCTTTGTTGTTGTCAGTTTACTTCACATTTTTCTGATTTAAAAAATGGTTACAGAATGGATTAACCTTACTTACATTGAACCTTATGGGGAAATTTAACTTGGCTCACAGCCAGTTTGGGTCACGACCAGAGTCCTGAACGGATTAAGTTTGTGAGCCAAGGTACCACTGTACTAAAGAGATGGTTACACTCAGAACAGGACTGGTGATGGTGTATCCTTGTATCCTCCAAATACTACAGCTTTAAGCATTCCTGATCATTGGCCATGCCTTAGGCTGATGGAAGTTGAGATCCAAAACATCTGGAGGGCCATGAGTTTGGGGAATTAAATTAGAGCATGAGTTTGCTCTAACTTACATTAATATCTCACCACATGTTCTCAGGATGGCTAATATTAGTTTTAAATCATGGGGGCAGGAAATAACTTTTTAACACAGATTGTAAGAAACAAATCCACGTATGGAAAAGGATAGGATCCTAACATGGTGTGGGCAAGATACAACCCTCAGTTGATCCAGAAGCAAGTGTACGAATAGTGCATTCACTTGGCTCTCTAGGTTTTGTCCCAGGGCTGCTGTTATTTCAAGGCCATTGTGATGGTGTGAAAGAATAAAGCATTGCTTGCACACAGTTTAGAAATGTAACATCTGTTTGTTGTTGTCATCGAGGACATACACAAATATGAGAATTTGGGGTACTTCGGCAGATTTTAGAAAATGTAGCATTCCAAGATAAGGCTAGAAGAAATGTATATGTTAATTTTGGAGAATGGAAGACCATGATGTATGAATGTATAATATTCAAATACATATAAAGCAAGGGTGCAAAACCTCCAGCCTGGTGGCCCAAAATCTCCCTTAAACTTTTTCTAAAAGGCCATGTCCACTTCACATTTCCTTCACCCCATGATCATTTAGTGATTTCCTAGATTTCGTGTGGTGCCGTCCTGGCACCATTAAAAAAAAAGTCAAAATGCCTCTTTTAAGTCTTCGTTACTGATCGTAAAAGCATTAGGCTAAAATTTGCTGATATTTGTTGTTGTTGGCCCCACTGCCTCTTGCTTTTAGTCCTGCCTATGCTGGGACATGACTGCTTAGTGCTTTCCTGAAATAGAATTTGATCCTTGGGCTAAAAGGTTTCATGCCAGTGTCATAAAGATAACTACAAACAAGATGGATAGTAGTTGTTTTCTGCTGCCCAATATAGTGAAAACAGAAGGAATAGCTTAGCTAGTATATAACTTTAATCCATCAAACGCCCCGGGTTTCTTATGCTTTTTGCTGTTCCATTTTCTAGATTTTTAATTATGGATTCTTTCTTTTAAAGACTTGGCAGAAGGTGTGGTGGAGGTGGTGGCTGAGCCTCTTGAAGACATTGGTGATTGGGAATCCGATTTTGGAGAATGGGAGTCAGATGATGAAGACTGCAACATGCTCCCCAATACAGTTTCTCCTGAAATGAAAACTACATCTCAGTATGAGAAAGAAGACTGGGATAAAGAGCTGGCGGAGTATGAACACAATAATAATCCTTATGGTAGGTGCAAGCTGCTGTATGCATTTTTCAGGCACAGAGAGGTATGTTATGGAGAGGTACCTCTGGAACTGCTCCAGTTTCCTTGGTACTCTTCCTGTAGAGGAAAGTAGAAAGCAAGCTTTGCAAAATGGGTAGCAAGAAGGCAGGAAGAATGGCTTGCAAGAAGCTCCCCTGTCCTTGGCCTGGCTGGCTGGCTTGGTATAGTCCAACACAGATGATATTGGGAGCCTGGGCTTGTCACTTGAAAAAGAGTTGCAGTTAACTCTGGCTTCTTATTTAATTTGCCTCTTGGAGATATGTGTGAATGCAACCAATAACATTGTGAACATGTTTCTTTTTCTTTTAGGAGTTGTACTCCTATCACTTGGCTATCTCTGATCCAGTCCTTATAGATTCTATGGATTAGTCTATAATATAGAAATTAACTTATTATAGAAAATTATACATAAGAAACTGAGTGATGAAAATGACCTATTGGAACTCTTATATTAAAATCAGGAAACAGAATGAAATGATGGATAGAGGAAGACATAAAATGTTTCTAAGTTTATCCCAATATTTTCCATATTCAATTATAGCAGTGCCATCTTTTATGTACACTTTTGTCTGTCTCTAAGAGACAACTGTAAGATTGCATTAAGAGGTACCGTATTAAAAGTCAGCTCCGTCTTTGTTAGTCCAGTGATGATTTGTTCTTTGAACCATGTTGCTAGCAGAGAACTATAAAGCGAAATCTGAGACTGCCAGGGCTTCTGTGCATTGTATTAAAACCTCTCTGGCTTGCTTTGCATACTCATTTACACAGATGTGGAAGAGATTTAAAACATGGGTGGGTAGGTGGTCTGTCTGTCTGTGGAACTGCAGGTTGAACTAAAGGCCCTCCTCCCCTTTAATTTTTTTAGTCAATGCCACAGCATTGTACAGGCTTTTTCCATTATTTGTCTGTGACACTGTCATATTCTCTTCTTTTCTTAACAGTGTGTGCTGGTTCTTCAGATTAAATGGGAGGTAAAGGCAGTTTTTTGCATCACCTTCTAGTGCATCTGTGCTTAACAAGGCACAGTGAGGGCCATGCATAAGGCTTTCCCATACTTCCTTGCAACCTTAGAGTTGTGGATTTTTAAGCTGGAAGAGAGCTCACACTTCACGTTTTTAATAGTGCAGCTCTGTTTCAAACTGGTGGTATTGTCCCATATGTTCCAACTCTCCAGCTTCCTTTTACTGCCTCCCCAGATAGTAAATGTTTGATTAATGTGTTTCAGTTACATATACAGGTCCATTGTGAGAGTAAACAAGTAGTTCCTTTTTCAGAAAAGAAGAAAAAAGCAAAGCAAAGAATACTGCAATACCACTAATTTGCCATACTTCAGAGTTCAGGACAATATTTGATGTAAAAATAGGGTATTTCAATGATGCAAGGTTTGTTCTGGAAACAGAAAATTGGATTTACAGTAATTACAAAGGGGTCCAAAAATGTAACGGGCTTATTTTAGTTTAATTATTAGAAGTCTCCTCCTGCAGTTATTATAGCACACAAAGGGACAATATATCTGTTTTTCTCAATGTGTGTTGTAGTTATAATTGTAATTCTTCATTTCTATTATTCTAAAAATTGGAAAAAATAATAGACTACTGAGCTGTGTGTGTTGTGGGGAAGAATTGTGCAGTGGTACTGTGGAAGTGACATTTTTCAGTTCTCCTGTTAACATTATTTTTGTGAAACGTGTTCTAACCAAACGAAGAAGCTGGGATGCCATTTGTTCTTACTGGATGGTCTGAAGTACTAACGAAAATGTGTATGAAGAGGAATGAGCTATTAAGTGACAGAAGAGTTTAGTTGTGCTGATGAATAGGTGCTAATACCCCTAATTGCTGAAAGGAAAGCAAGTGTTGCTTAGCTCTCTGAATGAGAAAATACTGAATTCTTTGTCAATATTAATTTACTTAACCTCTTGGATCCACTCACTGTTCATTATCTGTAAAGTAGGTCTTATTAAGCTCTGTGCTGTTGAAGTTTTTGACATACTTGTGCAAGCATTATGACTGAATAAGAGAACAAGCACTGGCATTGATAAATGCTCTGATATCTCATACTGTATTTGTTTGTATATTTAGCTTTCTAATCACATTGGTTCAAAGAAGAAATCTGTCAAAATATTTGTAAAAGATTGTCACAGAAATAAAATGGATACCCCTATATGCAACATTCTCAGTTCCTTGGAGGAAGGGTGGCATATAAATGTGAGGAGAAGTAATAATAAATAGTTTAATCAGCAGGGCCTTACTCCGTAACATGGGTGCTTAGAATTAGGGCTAGTTCACATGACATGACAGTCCACTGTGAAATATTGAATCCAATATGGTGAAGTTGTAGCCTGTGAAGTAAGTGTGGCCCCTGTTTTGCATATCCAGCCTTTGTTGGGGAGGGGGTGTTGTGTTGTGTGAACCCAATGAACATAGGCTATGGAAAGGCTAAAACAACTCTGTGTAGCCCTGAAACAGCCTACAGCCGATGAGATACGCAAGGGTTATGTAACCCTCATGAAAACCATGCTCACTAAGTTTGCCCAGTACAACAGTTGTGAATGGGGACTGGATATCTAAAGTGGTATTTGTGGGCACCATTGGTCATTGTGGCTAAATAACCCATAAGAGGTGGCACAAAGCCATGCAAAACAGGTTTAAATTTAGTGATTTAAATACTATATTGACTTAATTACTCCTAAATTACCTCTTTAGAATTAGAAGATGTTATCCATTGTGGAAGTTTCCTAGATCAAGATCCAGCCGAATTTTGTGTGATTCATTGCAAGCCTTTGTATGACCCAAGCTTGGATCATGCAGCACCACTGACTCTGAGCCAGTTGGAGACCATGCCCGTGGATGGCCAGTTTGATGATGCGGCTGACTGAGGCTTTAGCAGCATTGGGACAGAACTGCTGATTTCTGAACTGGAGTTCCCCATGATGCTGGTTTGAGAAGGAACACAGCTCCTTTTTGCTCTCTGAAGATTTTGTGTTTGAGAATGACTGGAGTACAAATACAATTGGAAATTGCAGTGTCAGAACATGCGGCAGATAATGACATTGCTTTGTAGAACTTTTTCATTCCAACTGTCTTGGAATCATTTTGAGAATTATTTTGAAGTTGTGATGTTAGTTTCATTGGAATGCTGCTCAATACTCTCCTCTGTCATCTGCACAATTTTATTTGACAAGAGTAGCCACAATACATATTTATTTTCACGTTAGGAATGGTGCAGTTCTGTTTCTTGTATGGGTTCATTTACATAAAGTTGGGGACTCCAGCATATTGGAGGGATATATCTTGATAGGATCACTTCTGGAGAATACAGGCTGTTTTGATGCTGTACACTGCATGTGTGTTTCATTTAACCTGCAAACACTGGGAAGTGCTGATTCAGCATACTGCCTAGCACCTGACTGCTTATGCCCACCCTCCACCAATTCGTTAATGCAATTTATGGTGCAATCCTATGCATGTCTATTTAAATTTATTACATTTTTATCCCATCCTTTAAAAAGACTCTCAGGGCGACTTAGAAAGAGTGCCTAACTCCTGGATGAGTGTATAGGATTGCTGCCTTAACATAGTTATTTTAAGCAATGGCACTTTCTCTGCCTGTGATTAGTTAGGAAGTTCATACAAGGTGGAATTTCTATGTCTGCATAAGAAATGCTCAGAAAGAGTAGGGTACCTTAGGGTGAGGCATCATGGGTGAAGGTCTCCTATCTCATACATGTTTCTTTAATCTATCTGATTCCTGGAAATCATGAAGGACCTGAGATGATCTGTGCTTTCTTAGTGCAGAGGTGATGAACCTGTGGTCCTCAAGATACTATTAGATTATGACTCCTATTATTGCTGGCCATTGACCGCAGTATCTGGGACTGAGAGGACTTGTGAATCCATGCAGAGGGCCATTGGTTCTCCACCCCTGCCCTAATAAAGCAAAGCAATTGCAGTGTTCTTGCAAATAGTGCATCTACATGGAGGAAATATTAGCAGCCTCTAGGGGGCAGCAGTAATCCAGCCCATAGCTTATGGTCTGTGTTTCTCAAATAACAGGTCTTTATTGTTACTCAGTGCAGCAGCAAAGCCATGTAGTTCTACCAGAAAAAGTTTTAGTGATGATCAGATGCTGAGCAGGTGGAATGGTGCATGATTGTGCTAATGACTTATTAAAATGTGACGAGATTTTGAAACTCACATGTTTGCTACTAAATGATCAGAGTGGAAAATGCAATTAGTTTCCTTTTTTATTTGATTCAAGTTAATTGACATTTGGCTTTATTTGTTCTATATAAAGATGGGAGTAGTATTTCCTGGGTTGCCCTGTCTCATGGGCTTGTGCAGTGGAGGTGTTAATATCTGTTTCCCATCTTCTTGTATCTAAGAGCTAATCTGTGGGGAATTGGGTCATAAACCTAATTTCCTCATTCATATCAGCATTCCTTGGCTAACAGATACTTCTGTACCACATTCCCAAGAATCATTGCTACCAAAGTAATACATGCAGTTTGGTTAATACATTCTGTAATTATGAATTAAGAACATTAAGATGCTGTTCTGGTTCAGACAGGTGTCCATCTGCTCCAGCATACTGTTGCCACAGTGGCCAATCCGATAAATGCCCACAAGGAGGACATGAATGCAGCCACATCTTCCTGCTGATGTTTCATAGCAGGAGGCATAAAGTGACACGGGGCCTCTGATCCAGGAGGCAACAGAATAGCCATTACGACTGGCAGCCATTGATAGCCTTCTGCTCCAGGAAAGTTAAAGATAACAGCAGCAATAAATGTCAGCTGTCAACCAGGCATTGTGTGTTTTCTCCCAAATGTATGTATTTAGTATTGCAGGCTCTCACACATCCTTCTTTCTTGGGAGGAATGTCAAGAACTATGAAAGTCCTAACTAAATACACCGATACGAATTCCCCAAAGTGAGTGTTCTTATTTATTTATTTATTTATTTAAAACATTTTCATCCCATCTTATATCTGGAATGGAATGGATCTCTAGACGGCTTACAAATTTTAAATTTATATCCTGCTGCATTGCCCTTAAAAGCCCGCTTGCTGGCTTATAATAACTAATATATAAAATACACAGTTACATCCATAGCATCATGTATTTGGTGATGCCCTCTCTGTCCTCACAGCCCACCTTCTCTGCCAAGCATTTGGCACACCCCTTAGATCCCAGGCCCTGTTGTAACTCAGCAGTGCATGCTTGCTAGGGAGAACACTGTTGAGCTACACCAAACTTACTTCTGAGCAAATATGCTTTTAGGCTTGAATGGAATATCCTGGTGTGCATAACTGAGGGAAATGCACATTCTCTGGTTCCATCGCTGTCTCTTTCATGTGCCCTGTGTCAAATTTCATATTGAAATTTGAACTTCTTGGTTCAGATATCCATCCACTTTGTCAAGTGCCATGCACATTCATGGTGTTACAGAAATAATAGCAAAAAGTGGTGTTATTCTAATCAGGCTCGGCTGTTTTATGGTTGCTCAAGCAAGCAAGGGCAGGAATGTGATGATATGCCTGATAAAATCCTTACTGCATCTCGAGAGTCAGCACCTGTGGGGTGGAGTTGCAATCCCTGAAGCACCATCTTTTGGAACCTGCCAGAAAAGTAATGAAGGAATTATTACCATTATGCAGATGCCTCCATTTCCCATCCTAATTAGAGATGCTCCAGAAGGATGCTGTGGTCAATGGTAGCAAAGCCTGCTGAGCAGGCCAGGGGAGTTAACAGAACTGGGGATCCAGCCAGAGGGCTCTTGGCAGAAGGCATTTTGCAACTTTTTCCTGTTTATTCAGTCTTCATGCAGGGGCTTCAAAGACCAGACACCAAAATGCCTGTAGGCACAGGTCTTGGCATGCACCAGAAGCCCTGCCCTTCCTGATCTTTATTTCTTATCCTTTAAAAAAATTAAACCCTTTTTTAAAACTTGGAGACTGACATGCTGCAAAGTGTAGTGTTGCCTTTGAGTGCCAAATTTGTTTGGTTAGAAAAGAGTGATTTTGTGTTTTGGAGCTCAGACTTCAGTTTTGCCTTGTTCTTGGGCAAATAATGTTTCTTCAGGTGTCACCACTTTACTTTCTGGGAAATGAGTATGTTGGGACCAGCCATGCCCACCATGGCAGCTGTCTTGTGAGAGGGCAAGCCTCCCCATGTCAGCCATTTTGTGAGGGTCCCTACGATTCTCCCAATTTGGAATGTGCCCAGCGACCCTTGGGGCCTCCTGCATTAATGGATTGTCCATGTGGAGGAAGAAGAAGATGTAAGACAACACGGGAGAGTCATGAGTAGAAGATGACATCAGGACCCTGCGTAAATTCCATGACTGCGGCATGGCAGTGGCACCACAGAAGCTTTGTCTTGAAGCATCCTCACACTTCCTTTGTCTGCCTCCCACAGAAGGTCATCAAAGGCAGATTCCATATGGAAGCCAGACAAAGTTATCTAAATAATCAGTGTTATACAACAGTCTCTGCAGCTGCCCTGCCACCACATGTTCAGTCACCTTGCCCTAGAATAATAAATCTGAGAACAGGCAACAGGCTTTACATCCTGGTTTCCCATATGCAGGGAAATTCTGATGAGAGAAAGCTCCCAAAGAAGAAAGTAGTGCATTCTGATGTAGCAGAATTCAGTGAGGGGCATCCACTTCAGCAACAACATAGCTGCACTGCTGTTTTAATGGAATGTCTTCAGAATATTATAGTGTTTTTTTGTTGTGCCCACTTTTTGAACTCTTCCCTCCACCCCTAAGAACAGTGTACAGCTCATGTTTTCCTGTTAACCACATGAAATACCTAAAATTCAGGGATAATTGTGGTATGTATCTCTTGCAGTTTACCTTCTGCTCTGCAAAAAAAGATGGATAAGGAGTTTCTGCCATTGCGGGTTGCCTGTTGCATTATAAACTTACTCTGTTCACAAGTGTCTCAGTTGCTCTCTGCATTTCCAGCTGTAAAAAACTGGGCATGCAAATAATTTCACAGGCTGGGAAGAAAATGCTGAGGGCAGCATCTCTTCTGAGCCAGCTGCTGTTCCTGGGGATTCCAGTTTAAATCCCTGAGTCTCGGAAGTCACTTGATTGAGCAGGCTGAGAAGTTCCAGCTGAAACAAGAAATACAGCTTGTCAAGGACACTGGGGCTGGAACTAGGTATCCGGTGGTTAGAAGCTAGGCACTAGCTGAAGGGCTTCTCTGCAACTTTGTGTGCTCCCGCCCATTGCCCACTTTAGGCACAGGAAAGCATAAAGCATCAGCCCTTGCAAGAGAGACGCCTCTGTCTGTTGAAGCCTCTAGACTGGCTAGGCCTGGGACAAGTCCCAAGGGCCTGGCTTCATGCTTTTGTCAAGTCAGCAAACCAGCACTAGTTTCTGCTCAAGCTCCCTGCTCCCCTACACCCTCCAGTCCTGGACTGCTATGTAGCAGCCCCAGGGCAGCTGCAGGGAATACATGCCCAGTTGGTGTAGTGCAGGGGTCTCAAACTCACGGCCCGCGGGCCAATTGCCAGGCCGGACGGGGCACGAGGGAGGGGCCCTGCGGCCTTCAAAGCGCCGGCAGCGCCCGGGCCGGCGGCGGGATGAGCGGCCCACCACCACCGCGGTGGTGGAATACTCGATGCGGCCCAGCCTCACCCAGACTCTACTTCCAGTGGCCCCCAGGTCAGTCAAGTTTGAGACCCCTGGTGTAGTGCCTTTCATGGAGATACATATCTTAAGAAGGACTCTGGAAGCTGTATGCAAATACTTGAATCTACCCATACATTACAATACACATCTGAGGTCCTTCTCGGAGTGGTTTCTCTGAGGAAAGTTCAAAGGATGGCTGCAAGTGGGAAGGCCTTTTGGTGGTGGTCCCCCCCCCCCCCCCGTTTATGGAATGTTCTCCCCAGTGAGGTTGATCCGGCATCAACATTGTCATAC